GGGAGTGCGTCAGTGGCCGGGAATCGAATCCCGGACCACGTGCGTAGTCGGCGAGCATTCTATCGCTGTGCCACCAACGCATTCTAATAAATGTTGCAAAACTTTTTTTCATTTATGATCACATTACGTTAAGTAACTTGGCAACACATGCTTTTCAAAGCTGAGTGTGCAGAGAGAAAAAGAGAAAATTGGAATGCTAACACAGCGTTTATAAGATGAGTGAGTGGAGTAAGAATATTTTCTCAAAAGTGACTTTAATTAACCTTTCAAGTATTTAATACAACCATTTTATTGGTTTAATTAATTTCAGATTTCCAAACCTACTCGTCTCCTAAAAACAATATGGACAAAACTCAGTAATGCAGAAAATCTACCCTCTAAACCATCACATATATTCCGATCACAGTAACTCATACTGTCTTTTTGATAGTAAATGTATTTCTTTCTTTCTCTCTCTCTCTCTTTCTGTCTACATAGTTTGTACAGCTATTTGTTTAATGCTGTAAGATTAATAAAAATGTAACTGTGAATTATTTGTTCTTTCAAGAAAAACGACGCATCGACAGAGATTAATTATACTTGCTCATTCAGTATTCTAAATCTAACATGAATTACTACTATTATTCCTTTGGCTTCCGAGTGGAACATAGGGCTTCAAACAACACATCCCTATTTCATTCTTCTCTCTGCTATCCTATTTAGCTATCTCCACGATTGTCCATAGGCTCTCATCCTTTCCTCTATCTATCGCCATTCCTATTCAACTTCATCATAGACGCATTAATGGACTTAACCCTAACACACTTCAGCGACTCAGGGATTGACTTGCTACCAGGGAATAATCTCGTTGACTTAGAATATGCGGACAATTTAGCCCTTCTAGGCGAGGACGCTGACAAAATGCAGAGTCTTCTGAACACCTTGAGCAGCAATCTTCGTATGTTTGGAATGCGATTCGCCCCTGTAAAATGTAAGAAGATGTTACAGGATTGGACTACACCGACCCCTAGATTAGAAATAGGAAGTGAAGTGGTAGAGCACGTCGACCGCTTCACTTACTTGGGAAGTACCATCAGCCCCATCGGGTTGATCTCCGACGAAATCTCAGCACGAATACAGAGGGCTAGTTTCGCATATTGCGTAGACGCGATATCTGACTATCGACCAAAGGGCCTGTGTGTACTGCTCAACAGACCGCTCCGTCCTCCTTTATGGCTGTGAGACCTGGCTATTGAGAGCGGAAGACATGAAAAGATTAGCTGTCTTCGATCATAGGTTTCTGCGTTCTATCTCCCGCGTGAAGTGGTATGATAAAGTGAGCAATATTGAGGTTAGGCGTCGAGTGCTAGGTAACGCGGGGAAATCAATAGACGAGACTGTGAAATTACATTGACTGAGATGGTTAGGACATGTCTTACGTATGCCTAGTCATCGCCTTCGTCGACGGGCAATGCTAGCTGATATAGGGCCAGACTGGAAAAGAGCTAGTGGCGGTCAAACCAAAACACGGCACCAATCAATGAAATCTACAACAGTTAGTTTAAGCCACGTAGGAAGGTGTAGACTTCCTGACTAGTTGGGGTCGTCGGGACGGTAAAAACCAATGGCTGGAAACAATTGATGAAATGGCTCAAAACCGTTCTCAATGGCTGGCGCAGATGCATCCACTCCTTGTGACTTATGATTTCCAATTAAACTGTTTTGTTCTCCGTTATTACTATACCTTTGTCTCACACCTCTGTTTACTGTCTATAATATGCATTTCTCCTACTTTCTTCTCTTGCTTTGTGTGCTACATGGAGTGTGGCGACTTGAACTGGCGCACATATGTGCAAAGTTGTATGTCGAAAACCAACCGACCGACCGACCTCTCCTCTATGTCACCCTCAGATGCGCCACTCGTCGTTTCCTATTCGAGAGTCTGATGCATGATTTCATTCAACGGTCTCCACAGAGTATTCCCGATCCAATGTTTACACTTAATATTGTTAAGTTTAAAGGCTACTTCATTTATTCTCCACATCCCAGAATTACGATTCAAGGTATACGTATGCGAAAATCTATATCATATTGACCAATGAAACGAAGTATAGAAATAATTTTCATGGTCACATTGTAATTATGCTGAGGAACCAAAGAAAAAGCCTCTGTAAGACTAACAGGAATTGATGGATAACAAATGACTTTTAAGGTTGTCAGAATCATCGAGTGAACACGTTTATAACAGTGTTCATCAAGTATGTCTATAAGAGTAAAGTGAAACTTGTTGCTTTTCTGCATCCCTGATCATCAAGCTTTTCTACCAACCTAATTTCAAAACATTTTTTTCATATGGCGATAAGAAGAAACTAGCAATTGAAAACCAGAGATATACATGATTTGGATGACTACTACTTATAAAATATCAGTAATAAAGCGTAAAAAACTGTTTTAATATTCCTTTAGAGAGAGCCTAGATATCATTGACACAAACAACTATTGTCTATTACATTCAACTTTTAGACGATGTCGTATATCATGTACACTTTTAGAGCAATCCCGTTGATAACTGTCTCCAACAGCAGTGAACAACAAACTCAATAAATGAATTTATTTAATTCAGTTATAGATTTTCCCATTGATTGATTCGACCGAAGTACTCGGTCTCGGGTTAAGATATCGGCTCCTTTTGCAGATACTTCGACAATGCCTCATCATGGAAATTGAAGTCAACTGGTGGATGGTCGCTAGCAGTGGAATCCAGGATGTACACTTCGTCCTACTCAGGACTCGTCATCTGGATGTACCTGATAGTCACCATCCACCAATTGACTTCAATTTAAATGACGAGATATCGGTCGGAGCATCTCCACAAGGAGCCAAAATGTCAACCTGAAACCGAGTATTTCGGTCGAATCAATCGATGGGAAAGTCTAAAATTGAATTAAATAATCGTCAGTAAGACCCACTGCACAAAAGGTGACTCTGGTGTCCCAAATGGTCTAGTGGATAACGCTTTGACGTTCAAAACTATGAGCACTGGTTTCGAGCCTTGGTGGAACATCGTCACTCACTGGGAAATGACGGTACGTTCGGCCGACGAGTCCCAAATAGGACGAAATGCGCATTCTGAATTCCACTGCTAGTCAGTCAGTCACCACCATCCACCAATTGACTTCAATAAATGAATGCAAAGAATAAAACAAACAAAAACAAACAGTATCATCAATGACTCAATTCTATCTCTTCTACAACACACAACACTGAATTCAATTCAATCGTGTGTCTGCACGCTTTATATATATTTAAGCAAAATTCAAAGGAGGAGGAGGAGGAAAAGAGGAGGAGCAAAAAAAAGAGAAAAAAGCACAATCAAAAACTACAGGTTTATTTTAAAGGAAGAAGAATTTTTAAATTACTTTACTTAGAAGATGTGTACACCATACGCGCACATACAAATACACAAGTTTTTCTTTTCTACATAATGAGATTTTCTTTTTATTAATAATAAAAAAGCATGATGTGACCCCCCCCCCCCCACATCATTCTAAATCATTGGAAGTAATGACAATAAATGCTTTATTGAGATCATTAAAAAATAATAATAATAACTAGGTAGTATAATATGTATATATGGTAGTATATAGTGTTCACTTGACTTCGAGTAAACATTTCATCATATGGACAATGGAAAAGGCAATGAAAGAGAAAAATTAAAACAAAACAAAAAAAATACAAAATATATATAGTACTTAATTACATATACATGTGTATGTATTTATGCAAGTGTTTATATTGCACTACTAATGTATCTCCAAAGTCTGGATCCTCCAAGGTTGGAAAATGATAACAGCCTCAACCTCAACCTCAACAACAACGATAACAATAATCAAAATGAAATTAATTCATACGAGAAAAAAACAAACAACAACCAGCATTTACAATTTTAATTAATGAAAAGAAAGCAAAAACCAAAAAAAAATAAAAATAAAAACGGAAGAAGCAAAGACAAATTAGAAAGGCGAAAATAATAGAATATCCATTAATAATCGGGGTTTTTTTATTATTCCTTTACGTTCTCAGTGGAACATACGGCTTCAAGCTAAACACACCTGAAGTTTCGGTAGCAGTGTTGTTGAGATTTTACAGGTTGGGGGTTGCTAACCTCATGGCTAACCTTCCTTCCCTCTTTTACTAGTCTTATTACTGGCTAAGCGAGGTGTAAGAGTGCGTCCAGCGGTCGGGGATCAAACCCCGGAGCACGCGAGGCGCGGTTGGCAAGCATTCTACCGCTGTGCCACCACCAACGCACATGATGATGAAGTAAAGACAAATTAGAATGGTGAAAATAAAAGAATTAAAAAACAAACAAAAAAAAACAGAACAATAGCAGCAGCAGTAGCAGCGGCAACAACAGAAGATAATGACAATAGAACACCAATTCAAAGATAAAAACAAACAAGTGAAAACATTTTACAATGAAATAAAAGAAATTATACACAAGATACAACAAGAAGAAAAAAGTAATAATAGTAATAATAAATTTATACAAAAAAAGGAAATAGTATTTATTATTATATAAAATGTTGTTTATAGATTAGGGTTTATATGAACCCATAATATATCATCATCATTATGCATTCAATAATGAAGGGATGAAACAGACAGACTAAGAGAGTGTTAGTGTAAAACTTCGACTAGATTTCATTGTGAATACACTTCAACTATGTTTGTAACAAGAAAGAGAAAGAGAGAGAGGGGTGGGGAGGAGAGAAAGAGGTAGTGTGTGTGTGTCTGTGTGTATTGCAATGGAGAATACAATGCTAGAAATAATGATAAACTTTACAAAAAGTGATAAAATAAATAAAAGCTGAAATTAATTCCTTTCATTGTAAATAAATAAACAAATAAGTAAGTAAATAAATTTCATTACCGGGGTGATTGTATCAGAAGTGACACAGATATATTGGGATAATCAGTTGTGAAGTTTGTTGAACAAAAGGCTGAAAATTTCTATCTATTTACCTAGCTCGACCACCGGATTTAGAAGATGAATTTTTCTGTTTTCTAATCATATTTCTAGGCTGTAATTTCAAATCAGCCATAATGGAAGAGAAATCAGACAGTCTTTGATAGTCTTCATCTTCGTCTGTCATACGAGCTAAAGCTTCATCGAGGGAAATTGTATCTGCCCCACGGTGTAAAGCGTTATTACCACCCATTGGACGAAAATGGGATGGTGTAACATTTGGAGGCTTCTCGAAATCTGTATTACCACAATGATCTACAGGTGAGAAGGTGGGATTAGCCGTTGCTCTTGGCAGTCTTAGTGGACAAGGAAGCATTTCAGGCATCACAGTTAGATGTAGTACAAGACAAGCAAGAGATGGCCATTCTTTGTCTAAACCCTAAAACAAAATAAGGTTAAAAGAAAATAGGATAAGACAAAAACACTGTACAGAAAAAGGTGTTTTGGTATTGGTACTATATTTATACAATCTGTAATATAAGTAAGATAAACCACTGCCTCTTAGGAAGCAGTTACATCTAACCGTTCCATCTATTCCCTTCTATTCTAGTTTCGTATAATATGTATTTGTGGTGGAATCGCAAAGTATAACCAGTGACACAATACATCATTTCAGTCATATAAACTTCTGATTTTGAAACCAGTTATCAAACTGTGAAAATTCAAATCATGACGCCTAATTTTTCATTGACTTCTGAAAGACAATTTTCCAGTTCGAAGAATCAGAATTCCTAGAGTGTTTTTAGATAACACTTAAACTACAAGTCAACCATAATTGTAAAATTGAGCAGATGAAAGTACTTTCAAAGTACACCCAACAGGAAGCCTCGCGCTACATAGACAAGTCTTATAGCTTTTTATCATTCGAACACATGCAAGCAACAATTATCATTACTATTATTGTTTCCTTTAATTCCTAGAGGAACATAGGGCTTCAGCCATGCATCTCCATTGCATTCGGTTCTCTGCTAGAGTCTTCACCTGGCTCCAAGTCTGCCCACACGCTTTCATCTCCTCTTCACATGACGACCAACTCGCCGCCTCCCTTTCGGGTTCCACTCGAGCAATGTCTTGTCTAGTGATGTTATTCACTTAATGGTTTCCTAAGAGTATGGCCAATCCATCTCCATTTCTTCCTGCCTATTTGTTTCACAATTGGTTCCTGGTTGGTTCGCTCCCAGAGATCCCTCCCTGTTGCTGATCTTTTCTGGCCATCTGATCTTGATTGGTATTGAGCGAAGACAAATGTTAATGAAAGTCTGTAGTTTGTTTGAGATGCTCTTTATGACGCGCTGGCCAATTCTCTGATCCGTATAGTAAGTGGCACTGACTTCACATTGGAGTTGAAAATCCGGATCTTATTTTTGATGCTGAGTGCTGTTGACCTCCACACAGACTTGAGAGTAGTGAAAGCTTTTCTTGCCTTTCCGATTCTTGCTTTGATATCCTCATCAGTTCCGCCTGTAGTTGAAACGATGCTTCTCAGGTAGGTAAAAGAGGTTGTTTCTTTGAGGTTCCCCCCATTTATGCTGATTGTTGTCTGTTGTTGTTATTGATGTTGGTGTTGGCCAGGAATCTTCATCACCTCTGTTTTCTCTATGTTCACCTGAAGTCCTATATTTGATGCTTCTTCTGCCAACTTGTTGCTTTTCACTTGCATATCTTCCAGTTTGTGGGAAATCAGACATATATCATCGGTGAAGTCCAGATCCTCCAAGTTTTTTGTGTGAGTCCATTTTATGCTTGTTTCCTCATTGCCCACCGTTTGTCGCATTATCCAATCTACTGCAATCAGGAAAATCATTGGCGATAGTAGGCAGCCAGCCAGCCTTGTCTTACTCCTGTCCTCACTTCGAAGGATTCCGTAAGTTTCCCGTTATGGATTACTTGGCATGCAGCATTGTCGTACAGATGTTGGATGAGATGTATGAGATGAGATGTTGTTGGATGCAAGCAACAATAGTACAAATATTCTGTAGTACTGTCATCGAATTCGACTGCCTTAAGAATAGGATTAACTAGTCAATCCAGAAATGAATATTGTCACGGAGTAAACTACACAACAGACATGTCAGAAAAAAAAATTAAGAAATAGAAATACCTTCAGATCCACCTACTTTAAGCTTGACACCGCCTCCTGGTGTCTTTTGAATTAGAAAATGAGTTATTCCACTGGCAGAAGATGGATAGACTGATCCCAATGAAGGAAGCACATCTTTCATTCGACTTATTGGAACTTGTGATTGTCTGGAATGGAAACAACTACCGACTGGATGATCACTACTGGACCGTACTGACAAGGCATAACTATTTGGATGACTTCCACTATCTCGTACAACAAAGCTGCCAGGCTATCATGAAACAATAAATACAAGTACCAGATGAAAACTAGGGGAAATTCAGAACAATGAATAAATAAAATTTAGTAATTTAATCATTATGGATTTCAAATGAACTGTCGTCAAGATTTGACAGAATAGTTCTAAAATATTTGGGCGCCAAGTGAGAAGTAGACATTTGTCAAAAATTATATTTGTAAAATCTCAGCGAGATTGAAATGAGTAATTCCAACGTTTCGTTCGGCAATCTGGTCCGAACTTCTTCAGGGAAATTAATCGAAATTAACATAACAGAGGTTTATATATAAAAGGAACATCACTTGTTTTTAAAAACTTTGTCCAATTATGAGTCATTCAACAAGTATAATAAACAAAATTTTATGAGCTGTGATCAAAATTTGACCTCGAACTTACAAATATTGGTCTACCTTTGTTAATCACTTTAAACAGAGTGTGTATGTGTGTGTGTGGGTAAACAGTTGTAAAACATTTCTTAACGTCTCTATAAGAAGATATGGACAGTCGAGAATTTTGACCAAGTATTAATAATTAGTGATACATATCCATTTTTTATTTATTAATAAGGATTTCCTATGCATCAGCTAACATTACGCCTTCATGTCTGTTCAAACTGTTATTATCTAGAATTTTATGATTAGACGTGTTTTCAAAATTTTGGTGTTTAGGATTAGAGTTTAGTAGAAGCACCCTGTAGGACTTATTGCTTTGTCTTCTTTCTGAAGATTGACCTGCTTTATTCGACCTACTGGAGTTGTCAGGTGACTCGACAGCTACGGGTTTAGGATATGCATTCTGTTTTTTTTTTTCCTTCACATTCCTCAGTGGAACATAGGGCTTCAAGCTAGAGGCTTGAAGTTTCTGTAGCAGTGTTTTATTTTTTACAGGATGGGGTTGCTAGCCTCATGCCCAACCTTTCCTCTTTACCAGCTTTTTTTTATTTCTGGTTTAGCGAGGTAAAGGAGTGCGTCGGCCGGGGATCGAACCCCGGACCATATGCGTGGTCGGCGAGCGTCCTAACCGCTATGCCACCGACGCACATGCATTCTGTTAATTTCGATTAATTGCTACAAATCTGGTCCAAATCTGGTCCAAACTTCTTCAGGGAAATTAATCGAAAAAAATGCATTCTGTTAATTTCGATTAATTTCCCTGAAGAAGTTTGGACCAGATTACCGAACGAAACGTTGGAATTACTCATTTCAATCTCGCTGAGATTTTACAAATATAATTTTTTATTATATGGATTTGTTTGTAGCAATTCTATAAGACCAAAACAGTCAATAAATTATCCATTCAGAACATTTAAATACGCATTACATAGCTGGCTTTCCTCAAATTGTTAACAAACTACCAAACTTAGAAACCAAAACACTCATTTAAGCATGTACATGACAGTGTTATCACGCACAGCATTTTTCTAAACAATAACTTAGTTACATCTTTATTAGTCTGATAAGCTGTCCAAGGATAACTAGTGGTGTGCAGTTCTGCCAAAACTACTTGGCAATTTTTATTGACGAAGTTTAGAATCGCACCTGAGTCATCTGAATGACATTTCAAAATCGCTTAAGAAACATGCGTTTTCGGGGACTACTGAAAACAAAATGAAAAACCCCTTTGGATCTTTCAGTCAGCTGCAATCTGTGAATAAATAAATAAATAAAGTCGTTGAAACTGTAGTATTCATGATTTCATGAATAGGTGAATCAGTCCTGGAGCCAAATACTCAGAATATAACACACTATTGCAAAAGACTGTTTTATGATCCTGAATGTACCTACTAATAGTTTTTTCAACCACAAGCATCTTCTCTGCAAGAAACAAGTTACTGATGATAGAAAAAACCATTTAAACCAACCCCTTTTAGTGTTAAGTGATTCGGTTTATATGAGCAAATATCCTATTATCTTATTATTATTGTTATTATTATTAATTCCTTTACGTTCCCAGTGGAACATGGGGCTTTAAGCTAGACGCTTGATGTTTCAGTAGCAGTGGTGTTCAGACTTTTCGGGATGGGGTTGCTAGCCTCATGTCCGACCTTTCCCCCTTACCAGTCTTATTACTGGCTTAGAGAGGCAATGGAGTGCGTCGGTGGTCGGGGATCAAACCCCTCACCACATGCGTGGTCGGCGAGCATTCTACTGCTGTGCCACCGACGCACCCGAATACCCAATGCGACTCAACAAGTCAATACTTTTTTAGGTTTCAACATGACTGTGTCTGACAATCAACAGCCTAAAAGTCTATCCTATCGAATGGGTAGCAAAATAAAGTAGTACGCCAAACGGTAGTAATTTCGTGTCCACTTTCACTGAACTGATTGGCATATCTATTTTATGCAGTAGCTAGCTTGTTGCCTCTAATGAATACCCAGTTCTGATTCTAACAAAAATATTTGAAAAACCGGATCTTTTCCAAAGTGATCAGAAATGGTCAAATAGCTTCTGAATAGTACGCACCCACTGAGGTTCAAAACTAGGACCTTTTGGTTACAAGGTGGGCTTGTAGACGTCCTGGGTGAGTACTGATAAAAAGTCCCAAACTAGGCTGACGAAACAGCTGTTCAGTCCTCCCTGGTGGTTTTCCAATGGTTCTCTAACCAATGTCGGTTCATGATGAAATCCTGTAACCAATCAATCAAATCCCTGCAAACACCAACACTTAAAGCTTCTAAACAGTTAACTATTAGGATAATGAACACACGTAGAAATAAAAATGAAATATTTCCAATGTTACTAGTTATACGAAGTAAACGTACGGGTTGTTTGGCAAGCATTTCCAAGGCTTTATCACGTGGTAGATTTGGAAGGTACCAAGGTGCATGGGACAATTCATTGACATCATCTACAATATTTCGTGAAGAAAAGTTTGGAGTAGAGCATGGAGATGTAGGAGGAACAGGTAAATGATGATCATTGGGTTTCAACAGTTTGTTGTTGTTGCTGCTGTTATTATTATTATTGTTTCCAGGATTTGCATTATTATTATTGACCGCCGTTACACAGGCATGTTCACAACTGGAGCAACCTGGAACACAAGTACAACGCTTCCCAGCTGGTAAACTGTTATCAGAACCTGAGCCTAAACAACCTGAGCCAGATGTTGCAGTTGAACAGCCAGTAGTTGATGAAGATGTTGTTGTTGCTGTAGACGTATTGGCAAGAACACTATCAGTAGTGAATTCAGGATTACATTCTTGAATGTCTTTTTCATCATTGGTGGTAAGAGTTTCTTTGTCGAATGAAATACCGCCACAACTTCGATGATCAGCCATATCATAAAAATGTTGTGGTAATCTATAAGGGTTTAAAACGGTCAAAAAACTCAAATTTACTATGATTTTAAACTCTCTGCATCACCATCATCATTTGTTATGAAAATTTATATATAAAAATGTACATTTTTCGTGTATGGTGTAACTTGGACTCTGCCATATGAGAAAGGTGAGACACAAGACCGTTGAAGGTGAAGGACTTACATCAGGCTAATTTCGTAATATGCCTTTCACTTGAGGTGCAGTGGTAAGGTATAATTATTTGGATTTCTAAACAGTAATATCTACCTGTCTGAGACAACCATTGTTTATGTATAGAAAATGTTGCCCAGCTACCATTTTCATTTCCATGCAGCTGGCAATGAGTCACATTTATGGTGTGAAGGCAAGTGATACTATCTGGGCGCCCGAACTTAGCTAGGTGGAATGTGGTCGGAACCTGTGACGCGGTTGCTGGAAGCCAAGAGCATAAACCAATTATCCAGAGTTCCATAGATTGTTTATGTAAGCCATACATACAGCGCACTTCTTTACCTCGCCAGGCCAGAAATAATGCTGGTGAAGAGGAAAGGTTGGGCATGAGGCTAGCAACCCCATCCTGTAAAAATAAACACTGCCACAGAAACTTCAAGCAACTAGCTTGAAGCCCTATGTTCCACTGGGGAACGTGAAGGATAAAAAAAAAAAACAGCACCTGATATGCAGCTAGTAATTCCTACTTCTAGATTCCATTCCACTTACCTCAAACTGAGCAACTACGTCATATCATCATCCCTCGTGCAATAACTGTGGCTCGTCACCTAGTACAGGAAAATTCTGGGCCGGATAAGTTAACATGAAGACTTGAATACAAGTACAGTAAAAAGTCTCCTAATGGGTGAATTTTAACAAGATTAGTATGACAGTCATCAGTGAAAAAAAACTTTTAAATTAATAAAATTCATTATACGGCAATGGCTGTAACCCATATTTAAGACTGCTGCGCTACGCCAAGCCCAATTGAAGCTACTTGAGTAGCATACGCGATGCTACAGTTTACTTTCATAAATAGCTCCAGTTTACAGGAGGATAAATGTAAGTGAGATATATAGAATACAAACGACTTACTGAGTATTCACAGATTTAGGCCTCAAAGGTGGAGCATCGTTAGGATTCTCTACACTTTTGTTTGCGACAGTTTCAGATAGTCTATCATTGCGTTTAACACCTGAATTCCCTGAATCAACATCTTGGTTCATGTGATTTACAGTAGATGATGCAGTGTTTAGAACTTGACCTTGAGCAGATGGTGTCACAGATGACTGACTACGCGGAGGAGGAGGTGGTGGTTTCAACTGTTCATTCTTTTCTATAAACCTTTCCATTTCACTGTTTTTTTGTACTACTGCCTCAATAGAATCACCAACTCCAACAGCTTGTTCACTTGTGCTTGTTGTTGCATCCCGTAATTTATGACGATGATGGTGTTTGTGGTGTTTATGTCTGTGAAATGGTAAAAAAATCAAAAGATTTTTGTAGAGCGAATGCTTCAATATGGCATAAAGTTATCGTATCTGGAACTATGGCTTCGTAACCGAGAATGCCTTAAGTGAGATAATATAACTGTTAAGAGCATAAATGAGTAGAAGGGTCATTCTCCTTATTCTTACATTTCTAATGAAAATAAAAACTATTTTGTCTTCCATCTACAAATGAAATAAAGGAGTTAGGTAACAGCTGTAAACACTAAAGGCTGTATTCAAGTCAGTATTGAGACTTTTTTTTATTCCTTTACGTTCCCAGTGGAACACAGGGCTTCAAGCTAGACGCTTCAAGTTTCGGTAGCAGTGGTGTTCAGATTTTACGGGATGGGTTTGCTAGCCTCATGCCCAACCTTTCCTCTTTACCAGCTTTATCACTGGCTTGGCGAGGTAAAGGAGTGCGTCGGTGGTCGGGGATCGAACCGCGGACCATGTGCATGGTCGGCGAGCGTCCTAATCGCTGTGCCACCAATGCACACAGTATTGAGATAGATATGCAAATAAATAGTTCAGACCAATTGAAGAAAAATTATATCAAAATAAAACAGAACAATAAAATGATGATAATAATAATAATAGTTACTTGTGAGCTTTATTTCCTCGTTGTTTATCAGTGACGTTGCCAACATTCGACTGAATGTTCTCCTCATCACATGCAGCCACACACTGTTCAGTTTCTGGTAAAGGCGGTAAAGGTTTATTGGATATGATTATTTGGCTATCATTGCTGGGATTTGTACTGACAGTTTGTGCACCTTGACTAAGAAAATAAGAAATAAAGTGATGAAAAAATTCAATTTTATTATCTAGGTTAATTCAAAAGGTGAGAATTGACCAAAATGGGTAGTATTCGCATAAAGAAAAATGAATTTCACTACTGCCGGCATTGGTAAGATTTTGGAACATATCTTACAGCTTACATCAGGTACATGTATGATGCTACAATAATGATATATTAATGATGTATAATAAGTCACTTATTATACCAATATTCAAGAAGGGAGACAAGTCCTCATGTGATAATCATAGAGGAATCAGCCTAACGAACATAGTCTCTAAAATCCTAGGCTCAGTAATCATGCACAGACTAAGCAGAACTCGGGAAGAACAAACGAGGGAAAATCAAGCAGGCTTTAGGCCAGGCAGAGGGTGCATAGATCGTATCTTCACTCTCCGACAGATCCTAGAACATAGACACACTTTTAGGCGTCCAACAATTGCCATATTTCTTGACTTGAAGGCGGCCTTCGACTCCGTGGATCGAGAGGTACTATGGCAATGTTTGACTATGAAGGGAGTGCCAAGAAAGTACATTGCACTAATCAAGGCACTCTACTCAAACTCACGTAGCCGTGTAAGGGCTTATGGGGAATTGTTATCTGAATTGATAAGAACCAGTGGTGTCCGTCAAGGATGTCCACTTTCCCCTTTTCTGTTTAACTTCATCATAGATATGCTAATGGAAGTATCCTTAACTGAACTCAACGATTTAGGAATCGACTTGTTACCAGGGAATAGTCTTATGGACTTAGAATATGCAGATGACATAGTCCTGTTAGGGCAGGATGCTGACAAAATGCAGAGTCTTCTGAACACCTTGAGCAGCAATCTTCGTATGTTTGGCATGCGATTCGCCCCTGTAAAATGTAAGATGCTGCTACAGGCTGGACTACGTCTACCCCTACCTTAGTGATAGGGAGTGAAGTGATAGAACATGTTGAACACTTCACCTATTTGGGAAGTTGTATCAGCACCAACGGATTGATTGGTGACGAAATCTCAGCACGGATACAAAAGGCTCGAGCTGCTTTCGCTAACTTACACCGTCTCTGGCGTAGGCGTGACATCCGGCTATCAACCAAGGGACGTGTGTACTGCTCAGTAGTTCGCTCCGTCCTTCTCTATGACTCTGAAACATGGCCAATAAGAGTTGAAAACATGAAAAGGTTGACTGTTTTTGATCATAGATGTCTACGATCACTTTCTCACGTTAGGTGGTATAATAAGGTAAGTAATGTTGACGTTAGGCGTAGAGTGTTGGGCAAAGAGCGAAAATCAATCGACGAGGCTATAAAGTTACATAGATTGAGATGGCTGGGTCACGTGCTGGGCATGCCTAACCATCGCCTCCCCCGACGGACGGGCATTACTAGCTGATATAGGTGCAGGTTGGAAAGGAGTAAGAGGTTGCCAAACAAAAACATGCCATCAATCCATGAAATGCTTGACAGTTAAACTGAGTCAGGTAGGGAGATGCAGACTTCCCGGTTGGGGCCCGCCCTCAGGACTCTAAGAATCAATGGCTGGAGACAATAGGTGACATGGCTCAAAATTGTTGTAAATGGCGCAGATGAATTCAGTCTCTGTAATCTTTCATACTCCTTTCTACCATTACTCATTGTGTTTCACTCTTATACTTGTCAAAACTCTATTGATTCTCTTCACTCATCTTGTCTACCTTTGTGTGCTAATAGGATCGTGGCAACTGGAACTGCTGCACTTCGGTGCCAAGTTCTATGTTGAATCCAGCCAGACAGAGACTACAATAATGAAGTAGAGACATTCATTTACAAAAAACCACACAGCAATCATTAGTAGACACAGCACCACTACTGCATCAGGAAAAGCCATTGTGCAAAATTAATTTGAAAATAATCTCAGTTATTAATTTTGAAAGAACTAAATTACGCTTCTCAAATGCTCCTCGGTTATATCGTCAGAATTAATAATCCTACTGTCTGTCTGTGTGCTTTTGGAAGTGAGTGGGCGGTTGTTACTTCCCGGCTACCCACACCGTGGAAGTTGCCTGATTCTTTGGGTACCTGAAACAGAGAGAGAGTTGGTGTTGCGTGACCGCAGAGCCCAGGGGACAACTGCTTGAGGCCGGTCACACACAGCTTGTACGAACTGATTTCTTGGTTTGCTTTCGTATTAGTAAACTAACCGCCGGTTACGGACCACCGTGGGGTAAGCCGGGATGTACAATTTTTGGGGTCGACCTTTTCTACCCCCCTCTCTCCAGAGTGGAGAGACCGCATAGCTGGCATGCTGGTCATCTGAGGGAAACACCTCACTGCTGTTACACCCCTGTTCCCCAGCAGTACGACATCGCCCACAAACCCCCAACATAGTGTAAGAAAAATTCTTACACTATGCCGGTAACTGCTTTTAGTCTAATCGCTATCCTAACAACCTTCCTGGCATGGTAGAACCTGCAGGAACATTGGTTCCAGTCAGTGTAGCTTGTTGGGTCATCGCGGTATGCAAGCCCGACCACCACGTCAAGGTAGCAGCTATCGGTCGGGTAATAATCCTACAGAATAACATAAACAATATTATGTAGCCGCCTACGAAATATTATCAGTGCATAAATACAACTGGAAAAGTTGATGGCATATCTAAAAAAACTATTGAGACTTAAACACAAGAAACACTTCAGATGTTGACCGTCTCAAGCCTACCCGCTAGATTATATGTCAGATCAAAGCAAATTCAATTAGTAACGAAAAGAATCGTGTACTTCGTTTATGCATCCAATAATGTAAGACTACTTTCACAAATGCACAATATCTGCGTAAATAGGCAGCAAAAAATGATTTACAGAAATCTGGGAAAATAAAAGTAAGGAGAAAAAAGAACTTACTTTGGAGAGTTGAGGCTAACCGAAACATTTTGACCTGTGGAAACGGAACGAGTGACATTTACAGGAGTTTGCTGAGTCTGAAATAATGATGAACTTATAGTGGAAGGTTGAAACACAATCGGATTATTAGAGGCTGCATTAAGGCGTTGTTGGGCATATGCCAAACGAAAAGCTTCCCCCATTATTGTATTAAGTTCTTCTGCCTACAAAGCAGCAATGTTTCATTAGAAAAATTTAGGATATTTTTTTAAAATTTACATAAAAATAAACCATTTTATTCAAGATTTTAAAGAAAAACAACGGGATACACGCAATTTTTTATCATTTATTTCATTCCTTTACGTTCCGAGGGGAACATAGAGCCTCAAGCTAGGGCTTTGAAGTCTCGGTAGCAGTAGTTTTATCTTTACAGGGTGGGGTTGCTAGCTTCACACTCAATCTTCCCTCTTTACCGGTCTTACCACCGACTCAATGAGGTTTTGGAGTGCATCAGCCGGGGATCGAACCCCGGAACACATGCGTGGTTGGTTAATAAATATTAACGCATTGCTGGAAAAAACAAAACGGTAGACAAATGGCATGCTGACCACTGACTTTACCATACTAGCTAGAAATAAATCCAATCGGAAAAAAAGTGAATTAATAATTGTTAGTTTAAAACGACTGGCATTTAAAGCGTTAGAAATAAAGCTGTGACATCTATTCGTCACTTCTAAAAATGCAATTACCGCCTGCGATTACATTAGCGTAATAGAACATAAACTATCAACAGCATTTGAAGTGAAGCGTAGAAATATCTTCAATTGCTAAACATCTAAGCGTACAAAGACTGAATTGTGTTGAAAAAATGGTATTTCATGTGTATTCTAGGAACTTGACAACTAGAAACCAAAATTAGTGGTTACCTTCGGCAATTCTTGCCGGCAATTACATCTCCATTTAGTATATATTGGTATTACACGATGCACATCATATCGTCTGATCTACAAACCGGTACATCACTGTTATTTAGAAGTGGCAGTAACTGTCACCTTTTGTGTTCTATAGAGACAGAGAAAACAAGCTAACTGCTATCATAAATTGCAAAAGCTTACTGGAACTCTAAAGTCAAAACTGACTAATTCACGTGCGGAACTTCTTTTTGACTGGCCGAAAAAATGATTTAACGGTTAACTAACTGAAAATTTCAACAGTAATAGTCGACAACATTGGTTAGTAAGAGTAAAACTGAAGGAAAAGACTTGCAAAATCTCTTCACATTAATTCAGAAGACTGAACAGAAAAAAAAGTGATAATTACGAAGCTATCTTAGACATGAGCATTGGTAATAAAGCATATCAAGGAATGTCAGTCAGTGAGTAATATAGACAAGCCTCTTATGTAATATAGCATTCCAACACTAAACAGATAAACTTATGTACCTCGTTAAAATTATCTCTAATATCACACTTTAACAAAACTACCCATAAGCACAAGGATATAATTTCACTGAAAGCTTACCGCTTCAGGTGTTGCTGTGACAAACGCATGACAGTACTGAATATTTGGTTGAGCTTTTGGTTCCCTAGCTAGGAAAGCAAACTGAAAATTGTCTGGGTCACATGTAGCATACGATATACGACGAAGTGCATGAGCCATATACACTCGCTATTTTTAGAAACAAAAGAAATTAATAAAAATGAGATAAGTGTTGTGCAAAATCAGTGGCTAAAGAAATATTTAAAGTGAAAAGTTGTACTGAGTTGTTTTTTTGCTTTAGTTTAGAATATTGTATCAGACTGATGAAGAACCTTTTGGTTTCAAGACAAACACGTTACCCCCTGAGTGTGGTATTTTTTTAACAGTCACCAATTTTATGATATAATGTTTTAGAAGAGACTCAAGTTACGAAATAAGGCCTGATTTCTGAAAATTTTTACACATAATCAGAAATCTAAAGTTTCCTTATAAAGTAGTGCTACCATAACAGACACTATATACATTCATTTACAAGACAATTGATATCGCAAAGAAATATGATCTGAGGAGAAATAACAAGCATCAGTGGTAAAAGCAGAAAGTAGTAATATTTCCTAATATCTCTTTACGCAGACAAAACTATTTAGGCTTTCCTAATATCATGTACATTATTAACTTATGGCAAACCATACCTTCAGACTTAAGGGTCTGTTGTAAACAAACAAAAAATCAATAAGCCGTTTAATTGGTGGATGGTGACTAACAGTGGAATCCAGGATGTGCATGTACCTGCATTCTCCAGTGAGTGATGATGTTCCCACCGAGGCTCGAACCCAGTGCCCATAGTTTCAAACGCCACGAGCCTCCATGGGAACATCATCACTCACTGGGGGATGCAGGTACATCGAGTTGACGAGCCCCAAATAGGACGAAATACGCATCCTGGATTCCGCTGCTAGTCACCATCCACCAATTAAATTCCAATTACATGCCCAGACATCGTCGAAGCATCTGCACAAAAAGCCGACATGTCAACCTGAGACCGAGCACTTCAGTCCAATCAATCGACGAGAAAATCTAAAAATTCAATTAAATCACTAAACCGTTAACAATTATGGTCTGTTAATCCAAATACTCTACTTAATTAGGTCTTAACTTTCGAGGTTACCTTTCCTCAATCTAAATTTATGTAAGTCATTGATGAACAGCAAAAATATAATTTTTACTGAGTCATCCTTAAAGCTGAAATTACCATCTTTAAATATGTATATTTTTCAAAACGCCCTAATTACATGACATGGATACACCAGAATGTAAACAACAAATTATGTGAAAAATAGCGAAATTATTTAACGTCCTTTATTGATTAAAGATAGAGGCTTTTAAATGTCTGAAAGTCACAAGTATATGAAACCTACCATTAGGAACAAGAAGTTGTAAAGAACGGCTCATATTTTATGATAACACAATCCACTTACGGACAGCAAAGAGCTAAAAGTAGATTGAAATCCGTAACTCAGTTATTCCTGTATCTATGTACATTATCAAATGTGATTATCATGCTACCCGAAATCGATAAAAGTAATGTAAACCATAAAAAACTGAAATAAATCACATCTTAACAAGGATCCTTTGAATAATTAGACTTTCTGAAACAACAGATACAGCTATTGTTTCCAAAACAAATATAGCCTCAACACTGTAACCACGTACTGTTTTCTTATGAAAAACACTATCTCCATAGTGAATACTGTGTTTAGTTAACTGTTAAATAGATAAATACTTGATTTTCACGTGTTTAGAGTTTTACAACTACTATGTCCATCGAATCAATGGGGACTACACATTTAATACTTCAGATATAATATAGTAAATTGTACCAACTAACATTTCAGAAAACGTCAAGTAAATAATTGAATCATGTGTAAGCACATTAGAACGCAAATATATTCACAACCTGAGATATGATAGCTAGTTGGTGAAGCCTGTTGCCTAATAACTGTGTGGTTAGCTTCAAAATGAAGTTGTCACTATGATCTTAGTAAAAAAAAGTAATAGGAAATAATGCTAAAAGTAAAAAGGTGATAAAGACAAATAACTACACATAGATAAAGATTATTCATGATGATGATGATGATGAAATAAGTTTTGCCTTGAGAAATGTACAGGAAACTGAAACTTTTAGGTTGTCAACAATGTATAAGTTGATGATGCAGCTAAAATACCCGAAGGAAAAAAACATTGGCTTCGCGTAGCCACCACTTCCAGAACATGTTTATTGTAGTGAACTTTTCTGATTTTTACTTACATTCACCGTTAGGAGAAAATTTTTAGTCACTGAATTGAATGAAGTTTTTTCTGATTTCCTAAATGGAATTATAAATATGTGTACATTAGCAACACAATACACAACGACCTTGGATATCAATTTTAGCTAGTAGGTGTGATGTCAAAGGTAGTACCAAATGTATAAATTAAATGCTTACGCAGTTAATTAGGAGAATTTCGGGAGAACAAATATGCTAGTTCATTAGAAAGACTAGTAGTCACAGGCTTACGGGCCAAAAACCAAAGTGGAGGACATCGCAAAGTGACACGAAGACATTAAAGTTAGTAGGCAACAATGAAGATGATTGATGGTTGGATTACACGTGTACATAAAGGTCTCAACTACTGATATTAATTCTTTCTGAGGTAGTCAAACATGTTACAATTGGTAGCTTCAACATTGCTACACAGTATAAGGTTGGTTTGTATAGTCATTATGTATATATTCGGCTTATGCTTCATTGGTATGACTTGGTACCACAAAAAACCTTAACTGCGATTAAACTAAAAATGAGACGGACCATTTCCAACATGCATAATATTAAGACTGGAGATAATTTTTATCTATTTAAAACTGCTGCATAGCAGGGCATTCAGTATAGAACTTTGCTACTTGATGTTAGATTAGCGTTTCCGCCAGTATCCAGCAGAATTTATTGAAGTAAGAAATTGTTGATCAATCGAAAAATAGAAATAGGACGAAGTGATTAAGTGATAATTTCTCGCAAACCTAAAATCGCCCAATTAGTGCCCTTGTTAAGACTAATAAACACAAAAACAATGACTACAAATACAACTGATAAACTAATCACCTCATCACATGCGTAGCATTTTCTGACTAGTAATGAACATTAAATTAAGTTTGTACCTAAGACTAAAACTGACAACTAAGTCTACGACTTGGCTCTTATTCAATACAGTAATAAGACCTCAATGGATAAGAATTCCAACCCACAAGTGTGTTACCATCACATAAAAAATTCAACTTATGCATATCTATTCTATTCTCATTCACTTGTCGGTCAGATCACACCTAATGCTTGAAGAATTCTCCTTTGCTTCTCTCTACATAACGCAACCCATAAATTTTAGATCGAAAAGTACTAAGCAAACTTGGATATCACAACCGGACGCGTAAAAACACTCATCATAAAGCACTCACCTCATTGTTTTCATGGCAGACTTTAACTCCGCTTAGTGATATGAGTAACGTGATTGGTTTGCTATGGGTATATTTCTGAAACAAAATGTAAGAACATAGATCGCTGAACGCAAGAGTCTGGAAACTAACATATATAAAACAGCACAATATGAAGTAAGGTTTATACTAATTTCAATTTAGAACAATAACGGTTGTGACAATACTTAACTCCCAGGGCGATAATAGACAAATTAATATAAGTATAAAACTTGGACACTGTAGTAGAGTATAACTCCATTATGGATAAGATATGATTATGAGAAATAGTTTGTGCTCCAAACGTGACCAGCTAATATTACTGTATAACATTGTGTGATTCATCAAAATAAAATCTTATCCATAATGAAACATAGGAGATAGAGTTCAGGGTTCATAACTGGTTGAAAGCTGGGAGCGAATTAGCTACCCACAGCTCCATAATTCTCATCAAAATCTTTCGTTCATTTATCCAACAATATAAAGTTTCCAACATATGTCTGGAAGTATAACACTGCAAATGATTGTGAAGATATGATTATTTCAAGAAATGTACGGATAACGAATCAATAAGACAGACCACTGTTATCGACCAAAGCACCAACTAAAACGTAATACCGAAGCTTAAGATAGTGTTAGACAGCTTCAGTCCACCTGAATTAACCTAGCTTAACTTTATCCTGAAATAAGACTGCAGTCAAACTGTGTTCTATCCACACCCTTTGTGAATCGAACAACTATCCATTTGCAGGTATTTCCTGTCTGACAGGGTTTACTAAATTATTATTATTATAATAGCATAGGTTTGTTTGTATCTTTTAAACGTTTTTAAAAATGAGGATGAGCCTTGACAATAAAACTACAACAGCCACCCCGATACAAGACCTCCTACAACCAATTGGGACTACATTAGGCATAACCAAATAAAATTACACCCTCTGTTCTGGAACATCGACTGCGTGACTTGTGTTATTAAGGAAATAATTAACCTAAGAAATCTGTGGTCTACAGTCACCTTCTTAACAGTTCTGTAACTTTTATTTACCCTTAATTTTAATTAGTTGCTAATATTTAGTGGTGAGGTTGATCGGGGTCACTGCTTTAGTTTAACTCAACCAACTATTACTAGTTGCAAGACCACCTGGTTACATTGCTGCGAAGCCAAATGAATGATAACATACAGCTATGCCCTCTGAGCGCTGTATTGGCTGAGTGAAACTGAACTCCAGTCGATGCTAGGCATAGACTTGCCAGTTTATTCGCTAACATGTTAACATAAAAGTTGTCTAATTCACAAACGACAGGAAGAATCACGTTCAAATGAAGAATTATTACTTTCTTTTCATATATTCTTAAGCAGTAACAGCTGAGTTTAAGTCTGCTCAAGCTAAAACTTGATTTGAAATTCAAAGTCGAAATCTGCGTACTTACACGAGCAGCCTCCAACTTCTGACGGACAATCTCCGCACGTTCATGATGTCCTTTGCCTGAGACAAGGAACGACCCTATATACTACACACAATAATGAGGAATTTTTAAAATCTACTTCTGCAGGACGCGTAATTGGTTGAAAAACCTCCATCAAAGAGATCTATTCAGTAAGTTCCAGCACATTTCACTAATATTAGGCAGATGGAATTGCTGACATATTTCCGGGTGTTTTTATTCACATGTG